TGGCTGGAAAGTTTACGTCTTCCCGCAACGTAGTGGCTGCCATAAGCTAATTGTGCCGTTTTCCGTTTTCAGGCCTGTCGACTACGATGGACTACTGCCGCAGCTTTTGTTTGGTGCTGTAAGTACGGCATAACCGCGCTCAGAAATTGTATGTTATAAAAGAAAAAATAACCATAATGACCATATAGCAGTTTTGATATACCTAGCCATACGAAGATACCTCCTTATTTAGTTGACACAGGTTACATACATATATATATGCAGTCTTTATAGCATAAGTGTATTATCGAATGAATTGACCAAAATTTAAAAAAAAAAAAAAAAAATGTAATGAACTATTAGCAAATGGAAAATGGAAATTATTAATTAGGTAAACTCGAAATATTAATGTTAATAATTATAATAATGGAACCAATCACCAATATGAAGTAGATAAGAACATAATAATGAATTAAAGTAGACTAATGGGCTCCTGACATAAAATGGTTTTGCATCCTTAATAGGGTAAAGGCACCAACTATTAGTCTTTACAGGTTGGGCGGGTAAAGAAGAAGAGCATCAACATCTCTGTTCTTCGATCTAAATATGTCACTCGTGAATTCTTTAGCTATTCTATCTGGTTGTTTATTCCGTTCCTTTAGCACTCTGTCTACTATTTTTAGTTATGTGGCACGGCAGCTTACTAGGTAGCAAAAGCACCCCCCCATTTTCCCTGAGCACAATCGACCCTGTAGGCAGAGTACGCCTCCAGTTTGCTGCACACATCAACGTCTTCGTTACGATATATATTCGATTGTTCGAATACAAGAACCAAATTGATAAGAGAAAAGCAGATTTAATTCTAGATTCTAGTTCCTACTGTGGGTTCGAGTTTTAATCTTTTAATCTTTTTTGGAAAATGTTATAAATGCACACTTAGTATATTCACGTAATTAAGTTTCAAATAAGATTATTAATTAAAGACAAACCAGATTGATATCTTGGTAAGGCCTCTGTATATATATAAGCACGGCAAATGCAAAACATATAGTTAAATTGCATTTTTTTTCAAACCGAATTCATTTCTAGGTTAATTCCTATTTCGAAGTTCGTTCTTAAACTATTTTTTTTTAAAGTGTTTCCATATTTGTATATTGTAAATTACACAAAACTCAAATGAAGCCAAGTTTGTCAGAACAATAAGATGTTGTCGCTGCGCATCTGTTAGATACATTTGAAGCTGGCACGCTCTTCGATACACAACAACAACAATACACACACACGCACACACACACACACACACACACACACACACACACACAGCATGCTGACTGACAAATGTATTGACAAGCCACACGGAACAGAAACGCGTCGCTGAGTTGGCATTGAGACTGGCTATCTTTGTATCTGTAGCTGTATCTATGTGTCTGTGTATCTATGTATCTGTATCTGTTTGTGTGCGTCTATCTGAGACAAGTTAGCGCAGTGCAACAATTGCAAATTGTACGGCTATTTAGCGATTATTAGTCGAAGAGCCGCAGCCAGATAGAAACACTCAGAGAAACAAAACAAGTAGGCAGGCTGTCGTTAAGTATGATCGGTTATGAGATACCCTGCAGCAAGCTATAAAATATATTAAATATACATCATAAAGATAATTAAATATATTTATATAAAATATTTAATATATTGCCATTCATTTTATTATAAATTAATATAAAAAGCGCTTTTGCACTCCCAACTGTAATTACGTGCGGAAGTACATGGAGAAAAAGATTGCGCCTGCTTATAGAAATTTGTGCAATATGACAATATATTTTGCTGTTTCTTAACCAATCTTTATGAAATTGGAGCAGTTGTTTAATAATGGCTGTTACATACCTGGGCACATAATCAATATACCCTCTTTTCACATTCTCAGCAGAAAAACAAAAAGAAAACACGAGTGTAGGAAGTGGATGCGATAAATGAGCGAATGAGCGAATGAATGAGAAAAGGGAGCAAGATGTGTAGATAAATAGCAAACGCAGTTCGAGGCCGGTCTCAGTTTGTCTCAGTGTGTGTGAGATACACACACTCACACACACTGATGTGTGAGTTGCAGGCGTCGTTATCCAACTATCTATGACATCTATCAACAATATTTTTTATGACGCAATAAGACAACAAAAAAAAAGAAAACACAGTTTGTATAATTAGCTCAACAGCATATGAAATTTCAATTGAAACATACATATATATGCATATAACATATATAACATAAATACATATATATATATATATATATAGATATATATTCATAGTCTGCCTGTTTATTTAACCCTGAACATGCATCGCACATTGCTTCTCGTCTCGTTATTTTTAGTCTATCGAATTCTTGCACGAATCTAATGATAAACAACGCACAGATTTTTATTTCTATTACGCCATCGAAATCGACATCCACATCGGCATCGGCATCGGCATCGACATCGTCATTATCGTCATTGCTATACAAATCGGCCGGTTTCTATAAATTCCTCGAAACGTTCTCTCTTCTTTTTATTCGGGCAACGCGAGACGTCATAATGACGTCATTTAAATCAGACTTTGACTGGAAGACGTTTCAAATTTGAATAGTAAGCGGTATGTAAACTAAGACGTAATAGATTCTAATAGTAGGCGATACGTAAGCTGGCAAGTGACGTTAAAGATATGAACAGTAAGCGAAACGTAACAGATTCTAACTGAAACGTAAACTGACAAGAGACGTCAGAGATTTTTAGCAGTATACTATGAAGAGATCTTACGGATTCCAACAGTCAACGAAACGTAAGAGACGTTCGAATTGTAAACTGGGAGGAGACGTAAGAAATTCTAGCAGTAATTTGGGAAGAAACGTAAGAGATTCTAACAGTAAATTGGGAAGAGAAATTCCAAATTCTAGCAGTAAACTAGAAAGCTACTTAAGAGATTCTAACTGTGAAGAGGCGTACAAGATTCTAGGAGTTAGAGACGATACGTAATTAAGAAGAAACGTAAGATATTTATACAGTAAATGAAACGTAAGAGATTCCAAAGCAAAACGTAAATGGGAAGAGTTTTCGCCTTGCAATAAAAATTAAAAGATGCAAACAAAGCAAACGAAATGTTGCTCAATAAAATGATGTAATAAAGATCGAAGAGCTGATATGCATAGATTAAAAGAGACAGAAAGAAAATGAGAGAAAGAGAGCGAGAGAGAGTGAAAAGGTGGCTAAGAGAGAGAGAGAGATAGTGGGAGAAAATAATTGAAAAATCATCTAACAACATTTCAAGATACTTTTATAAACCTATTACTTTTATTTTTTTATTATGCATTTACTGAAATAGGAGAGAATGATAGAGAGAGAGAGAGAGAGAGAGAGAAGGACAGCGGGGAATATCTAAATGGTATTTCATGTAACTAAATTTCAAGCTCATAGCTTAAATATATAAATATATATATATATATATATATATATATATATATATATATATATATAGATAAAGTATATATTTTTAAATAATATTTAATATAATATATTTAGTGGATAAAATTCTATTAAAACGCAATTCAAATAATCAGGAATAAGTAATGGCAGTTAAGTATTCAAGTAATTAAATACCACATTTAATTACTCAAACAGCGATGAATGCTGACTTCATGAATAACAAATGCAATTCAAATAACTAAATTTTTATTAATCAAATCACTTCAACATAATTGAAATTTCATTAAATATTCATTCATATCACACTAAGATGACAATTTGAGCTTTAATATAGACATTTTGTTTGTTTTGGCCATGGATTTAGACCATGTCCGGGACAGCTGAGAAGATGAAGAAGAAGAAGGCCACATTTTGCCATTGTTAGCCCCGTTAACCCAGTTACGTGACTCTGAAACGCGAAATGCGACCCTCAAAACGAATTTGCCAGTGGCCAAAGCAGAGTGCGGCACATAGATACATGCTACGAATGCACATAAGTGCACCAAAACATGTATAAATATATATATAAATATATAAATATATGCATATGTATATAAGCTACAGAAGGTATATGTGCTATATGCTCCCCTTGCTAGCCCAAGATACATAGATACATATGTATGTGCAGCACGCCACCTCCCATCCCCCCCTCAACATGATAGTTGCTGCAACTGAGGCTGGGGCAGCGAATGGGGCTGAGGCTGACCTTGACACAGTTGCAATCATGTCGTGGGCGGACTCAATGCGCAATGTGCAACATACAACATGCAACGTGGGTGGCTACAAATAAAGGAAAAAATAAAGCTTCTTTTTTTTGTGTATATATCTCTCAATTGAGTCAAAGTGTCAAGAATTCAAGTAAGAACATAATAATATTCTTTGCTTTTATTGATCTCAAATAATTTAATTTGCTGCTTTCTGAGCAATATTTTATATATATAAATATATAAGTCGATATATTTGTTTGCGTATTCCGATCTGCTATTTATCCACTTATTAGGAAATCTAGGCAATAAATCTGACTACTCTATTAGCTTTATATGCATTTGAATAATAATGTCTAATAATTGAAAACTAGTTTTTATTTTAATAGAAGTTGTTCTGCTTAAAATGCGAGATTTAATGTCGCTAAATGCCCTAAATAGGGAAACTTAATTTCTTTATTTAATATTCAAATATATACTTATTGGGGTTTTTATGGGTTTGGGGGTTTTATTGATCCATGCAACAAATGTTGCATAAAATAGAAAATAATGATAAAAAATCCATTTTCAAATACAATTCTTTTCTTTATACATAACGATTGGGCTCTTCCTCTTCAAGCTGATGATCAAATCATTGCAATCGATCAATATCGCTATCGATATCGTATGCTCAGTACAGAGTCACATGTTATGTTACACTCTTAGTGTCTTTTACTATCTTCAATCCCTCCATCCGTTTCAACTACTTTCGCGAAGTGATCTTTGATTACTTAATATTCCCCTAAACATATACCCCTATATATATATTCTCAAAAAAAACACTCACCTCATTTCCAATTGTTGTGATCTTCACGATGACCTCATCCCGCTCAACATCGTGTTGGACAACATCGCCGCTCTGTTCGCGTCCATTGTAGGTTATAAAGATGCGTTGACCGGGCTGCAGTTGGATACTGAGTATGGAACGGAAACCGGGTCCGATGAGATCCGAATCACGGAACTCTTTAGTCATCGCATTACGGCGCAATGCTTGCGCCGGACTAATGTGGGACAGGGGGACAGTTGGCGGCGTTGTAGTCGTCGTCGCCGTTGCCGGATTCGATTGTGTCTTGAAATCAAAGCGTACAATGTATCGAGTATCTGCATTTAATTGGGTATCTCCGGGTGCTAGAAAACTTGGTGGCGGCATCGGTTCCGACGCGGTCGAGGTGGAGGAGGTGCAGTTGGAGGACATAGAGGGTGTTGTGGAGGGGGGCGTTTTCACGTCCTGAATTACGCCGGAATACCAAAGGCCATCGGGGCCAGGGGCACACACCTTGATGCCGATTATCGAGCGTTTGGGCAAGCGGCGGCTGGTGGACATTTTATTAATTGAATTTTTGATGGATTTTCGAGGGAAAGGGGTGGGCGATTTAGCTTGTTATTTTAGCTTTTTTCTTTGCAACAGTTTTTTTTTGTGCTGTTTAGTTTTACTATGAATTTAACACTTGAATTAGGCTTTTGTGGCGGGCAACTGCATTTTTAGCATTTGACATTTTTTAGCCTTTTTTGGGTTTTTTGTTAACCTTGTTTTATAGGCTTTTTTAAGCTTGAAGGAGGATTTTGTTTAGCTTTTTTTTAATACTTTTCTTGCTGTTTAGTTTTATCAATTTTGTCAGCTTTTGAATTAGACTTGTTTTAAGCTTTTTAATCTATTTTTTTACTTTTCTTAAATTTTGTTATTGCAACAGTTTTTTTTTTTTTTTTTTTGCTTTAATTTTGTGGTTTAGTTTTACAATGGTTTTAACACTTGAACTTGGCTAAGATATTTAGCCCTTTTTAGAATATTTAAGCTTTTTTTAAAGCCTTTTTTAAGCACTTGCAAAGGGTTTTTTGCTGTTTAGTTTTACCTCGAATTTAGCACTTGAACGTAAGTCTTTCTTAGACTTTTTTGTAGCCGTTTTTTTTATTGCACTTGCACAAAAATGCAATATATATATTTTTTAAATTTTATTTTACACACACTTTTCAGATGCAAATTATTACACACACACCGTTTCTTATTAGTTTTATAGTTTTTATTTGCTTAGCTTTTTCTTTAGAATTTTTTGCTGTTTTACTATAAATTTAGCGCTTGAACTTGTTCTGTTTGGTGGGCAGCTTTTTTTAAGTCTTTTTCCTTAGCCTTTTTTACTTTTACAGACTTATTTCAGCTTTTTCTTAAAACTTTATTAGATTTTATATTAGCCTTTTTTAGACATTGGTTTAAACATTTTTCTTCGCCTTTCGGTTGGCTTTTTTTTTAGACTTATTTGCTTTTGTAAGGCTTTTTTTTACAATTTTTTTAGACTTCTTTGTAAACTTTTAACATTTTTTAAGACTTTATTTTAGCTTTTTCTGATTGCACTTGCGTATTTTTTTATGCAATCAATTTGCAACTTGTTGCACACAAACACAGTTAAATTATATATTTTTCCGTAGTTTTACAGTTCGTTTATTTTCTTAAGTCTGACCAACATATTTGGCCAATTTATAAACGCTGATTTTGTTGCTTTTGTTGTTGCTGTGTTTTTTGATAATGTTCTTGTGATAGAGTTCCAGGCTGAATGTGATGCGCTGCCTTAAATGCTTTCGATTGAGTTCCAGTCGCTGGAAGCAAGCCGTTGATAGATGTGCATTTGGCCCGTTCGACGTCAACGTCACTGTTATTCCAGGCAGAGTGCTTCTGCTGCTGCTGCTGCGTTTTTGCCTAAGCATAATCCAATTTTAGGCCTATTTGTGCCACGTTCCCCCCAAAATAAATCAAATATAGACAGCACAGAAATTAAAATATACAAATTTTATTATTTATTTGATATGTTTTGCCTTTTTGTTTTTGTATGTGTGTCACATATATATTTATTGGCTGTTTTGCTTTCACACTGCTTTCGCTGCCGGTCGTTTCACTTTTTCTTACGTCTCACACGGACACACATACACACAGACGTAATAACGTAAGAGAGCAAAATGAATGCAATCTGCTTTTACTGCTGCTCCTTCTTGTGCTTCAGATGCTGCACAATTTTGTTGATTGATTGATTGGCTGATTGACTGATTGCTTTTAATTATTTATATATTTATTGTTATCATATTTGGTTTTTTTGTTGTAAATTGTTCAATTTTTGTAGTTGTTTTCTTTACGTCGTTGAGCGAATCCACAATCCGCAATCCGTAAATGAGAAGCGCTTATCGGTCTACACACGAGCGTTGGCTATCAAAGACTGAAGCGAGCGCAACGGCGAGTTACAGTTACGACGAGCACACAGCAAACACAGATACACACACACATACATAAGTGACTCTCTCTCTCTCTGTCTCTCTCTCTGTCTCTTGCGCGCGTTTCGCTCTCTCTTCACACACACACTCACATGCATATGCATACCTGCTTGGAAAAGCGACATTGTGTGTGTGCAGCCAGCATAATATGTTAAATGCTTGCAACAACATGCTCTTGAAAGCGAGGCAAAATGCATTCACAATATAAACACACACGCATACACATATGCATATGTATATAAACATATGTATATTAATATGTGTAGGCCTCGGCATTGATTTAGCAGATGAAAAATAAAAATTGTTGCTATTAACTTTTAATAATACATACAAACATATGTATATATGCATAAAATAAACTAATAATGATTACCAATGTGCAAAAATATATATATTTCTAATTACTACGTAATTAATATCAATATCACACACGCTTACACAAACACACACACGCATAGGTATCTATGACGCCATCAACATAACAGCAAATGTTGACGTCGGCGTCGTTGTCGTTGCTGCTGCCAACCCCAACCCAAAAAAAACTACGCAGTTAACAAAAAAAGTTAAACACTTGTCAACATTTTTCACAACGTCAACAGAGCGACGCGCATGTGTGCCTGTGTGTATCTGTGTGCCTGTAGTTGATAGAGCAAAAGAGCGAGAGAGAGAGAGAGCGCGGCACTGGAAACCTGATAACAGCTGTTGTTTGGCAGAGCAGCAACAATGTTGCGAAATCAGCTGTTGAGCTGAGCAGCGAACTCAGCAACAAAAACAGACGAGAGAAACTGTTAAACAGTTGCGCGACTTGCAAATTACTCTAAAAAGTCAGAGTGTAAACAAAATAATGTATTGAAAATAATGGAATACATTTTCAATATAAATTAAATAATTATAAATAAACACAAATATTTATATATATATAAATAAAATATTTATAATTAATTATAAATATATATAAATCAAATATATATATGAATAAACACATAAATAAAATACTCTTAATTATATATAAATTACAATTTAAATTTATAAAAACAAATGTATAATTAAAATACTTATAATGACATATATATATATATATATATATTGTTGTACCTACAAATAATTATATAAGCAAAGTTTAATTTGAACAGTTGTCAAACTGCACTTGCCATTTGAGCGATAGTTCTCGGCTTGCAGGGCATTTGCTATAAAAATCGCCGGCCGGTTTTTCTGTCAACGTCACAAATTTAACAGTTAAAGAGAGCGCTTTGTTTTGCTTGCGCTTTGCGTGTGTGTGTGTGTGTATGTGTATACTCAGTGAGCGTGATCTTGCTCTCTTTCCCCTATCAGCAGTAGCAGCAGCAGCAGCACAGCTGTTATTATGCTTTTGTTTACATCACTGTTGTTGCTGTTGTTTTTGGTGCTCACACATATTTCTGATTTTGTTTAAGGGAATGGGGGAGGGGACGTGGTAGGGGCCATCTCTGTTGCTGTTGTTGCTTTATGCTGGCTTTGGGCTGTTATTGGCATTGTTGTTGCCTTTGGAATGACCTCTGTAGGCACAGCAACAGCAACAGCAACAGCAACAGCGACGCCAGCAGCAACAGCAGCAGTGATGCGGGTGGATTGGTGCAGGGATCGTGGGAGGGGGAACTGGCATTTTCTGGGCGTTTGCTTCGATATCCATCAGCATAAATTTGTGTGTGTGTGGGACTCGTGTATGTATGTGTGTCTGTTATGTATAGGCGCATATATTTATGTTGTTGTTGCTTTTGTTGTTGATATATTTTTGGGGTGGATTTCATGCAAGGTCCAAGAAATGTGTTGCGTAGTTTTTCGTGTGTGGGTCAAATTGTGGGGAAGTTGTGTGTGTGTGTGCGTGTGAGTTCTTGTGTGTAAATGTAAATAGTACACATAGTCATACATACAAATACTTATGTATGTACACTTATGTATGTAGGCATTTCCAAGCTAAATAAATATTTACATTTTGCATGTAAATAAATAAGAAATTAAGTAAATAAAATATGTATTAATATTATAAAAAAAAATAATAAGATATTATTTACCTAGAGGTATTTCAATGTTATACATACACACATTTAATTTATTATTATTAATTATTTATTATTATATATTTTATTTTATTTTATTTATTACTATTAGTATTTCTTTAAGGACTACAGAATAATATGGAAACCCAATAAAAATACAAAGATATACATACATATATTGTTAATTATTAGTTAAACAATTTTATTAATATATTTTTGTTCTTATTTTATTATGTACTTTTTTATTATTTATTTATTTACATATTATTTGTATTCCTTATTTATACTATTTTAATTATTATTATTTATTATTACCTCTATTTTTTATGGAATTTTTATAATATTGCATTTAGTATTATATATTTAGTTAGTATTATTATTTATTATTTAGCTGCGTTGATCTGAACAAATTTAGTTAATCATTTCTCGAGTGAAAATTCCAAGGCGTAAACAACAACAACAGCAACAGCAGCATTGTGCTCAACAGAGCACGTCATCAAGCATTACAACAAATACGCAGTTACAAAAATGTAATGAAGAAGAAGCAGAGAGGAGTAGCAAAGAGAAGAGCATCAACAACAATAACAACAACAATAACAAAACTGCCGGCGCTGCCAATTTGCCTGTGAGTGCAATCTGTGTGTAACGAAAAGAAACGCAAAACGCAAAAAGCAAAACCAAAACAAAGCGTTAGATGGAGCAAGACAACAACAACAGCGCACACACACACGCAAACTGGAAAATAGGTCAACCAGTTGAGAGAGCAAATCAAGAGAGAGCTGTTCAGGAGAGAGAGAAACAGAGCGAGCGTAGCTTAACATTGTAAGAGAGCGCAATTAGAACGGGAACTGCTGTTAGCTAACAGCGCGACCTTATTTCTAATTGGAAGTGGGCTTTTTTCCAGTGGGTGGCTCACAAAGTTCGCAGTAAATATGTAAATAAATATTTGTATAAAATCCTCCTTGCCTTGGACAGTTATTGAAATGTTATTGTGAAATATAAAACTGGTTTTTTTGATTTCTTTTGTAAAACTGTAAATTTTGGTTGTTGTTTATTTTGTATTTACCTTTGATTTTTTTCTTATGTGATTCGAATTGGAATTGCCTTCGAAACCGGATTTTGAAAACCACATTCGAAATGCGTACATGTGTATATATGTGTGTGTGTGTGTGTGTCTGTTAAATTACATTCCAATTACAGTGTTGTTGTTTCATAATACATACATATGAATA